TCAGCACTTAAACTATTGGCAGCCAAATACAGATGAATTTACTTTATCATTAAATATGAATGTTGCTATGTGCCTAAACAAAAGATTTCAGATATCATTGTTGTCAGGACTCTGAAGAACAGGAGTTTACTCTCACTATAAAAAGTAAAATGCAATCTGTTCTATTTCAATGGAAATACCTGAACATTTTTCCATGGCATGTTATCTCTGAAAAATGGAAAATTTATGGGAGCTAAACAGCAAATAATTGCTCCAGATACACTGAATTTCACCTTACATAATCTGCACATTGTTGATCTTTCAGGAAGTATTAACCCAGACAACATTAACCCTCTTGTACTAAGCATAAATTACACCAAAGAACTAGAGCAGTTATGAATATGTCCATTTTTAAGTGTGTGAAAAAAATCAACTGCACAAAATGAAACACAAATTCAAGAAATACATCATTTCAGCATTAAGGATATTTCATGCTGTTACTTGAACAAAGTAACAAAAAATGCCATTAAAAATGTTGTCTGCACTGTAAAATAGAGGGACATTAATAAAAAAAAAACATTGTTAAATTGTGATTTAGAGACACATGCAAAGAAAGATGACATCTAGAACAAGACAGTGATACTGGGCTAGATATTAAGATCCTTCAACTTAGATTTTTCATATTTAGATGCAGATAGACATGCCTATGGCCCCATTATTGTCAATGGAAGTCTAATCAACACAGTTGGAGTCAAAAGAGCAATTTAGTTCACCTCAGAGCGGACACTAAGGCTATGGCCTTACTAGCAAATAAAACAGTTCCACAGCATAGATGCCTGTAATAGTTAAATGTAGGTGTTTGATGTCATAGTACGGTCATGTCCTTTTTCTCCTCAGCTTTGTGGGAAATTTATGGAGAAAACTATTTGTGAGAACTTAGAGAAAATTATTTAAACCCCCTGATTTCAGTCAACCCTAGATTTTTTATGAGTGAGTACTCATACCCACATAAAAGCACAAATGTGTTTGTCTAAGTGGCCTGGCAAGGATCATCTGTGGTTTACTGCAATGGGAAAGGATACAGTTGTTGTTTCCTCACTACTTCTCTCGCTTTCTTACTTACTGGTGATATCAAATAGGTTTTTTTGACTGCTTCTCAATACCATTTCAAAACAAAACATTATTTCAGGGTGATTCTTCTGTTTCAGAATTTCTCTTTTCATAATTCTTAGACAATGGGTTGCCCATTGTATGTTTCCTCATTTGAGCTATCTTAAGCTTACAGACTGCCTTGCTTTTAGAATAACAGGAATGATATACACAACAAGATGTTATCTTTATTGCCATTCTTCTGTTATCAACCACAGACCTTCTGATCTTGGCAAAACCGCATTCCTCAGTCATTCTTAGTTTGGTTGCTGTCAGTTTTGTCCTTTGCCATCAACACGAGACATTCTTTTAGCTCTTGCTTTATTGTTTCTTGTGGAACCATAGAGTAGTTTGAAGGCCATCTAGTCTCACCCCCTGAAGAGAAATTTTCAGCTAGGTCAGGTTGCTCAGAGCCTCGTCCAATCTGCCCTTGAATATTTCCAGGGATGGGGAAGTAAGTATTCAAGAGCAGACTGGATGGGGCTCTGAACACTGTGTTGCCCACCTCTCTGGGCAGCACAGTTTGTTAGTCAACACAGTTTGTTAGTCAGGGAAAAACTCTCAAGTTGGTGTATTAAAATAGATATAAAAGCAAAAGCTCTTTCTCAGATTATACTTTTCAGGAAGTGGTAATAAAAATTAATCTTGTGTTCTATTAACACAAAGCAGTCTGTGTTTTCTATCAGGTGGAATTTGAATATGAATTTATAAAACAGGTTTGAGAACATAGGGCTTATTTGATTTTAGATATAGATATGAAGTTTAATGATAAGAACAGTTATACTTTATTGTGCAGAACCAGATGATCTGGTAGAGCAGATTAGGACCCATTTCAATATGTGCTTGCAAGGTCAGGTCATGAATGCTCACTGCTTGCATTGGAAAAATCATGTATTATGATTTTGTGCTAGTTTATCTTGTGTATTTCATGTGATCATTCTTGTCTTGTATCTAACTCTGTCCCAGTCAAAACCAACACACTAACCTTTTGTTCACTTTCCACAAATCTGTGATATCCAGCACGTCTCTTACATGGTTTTTGCTTCAGAGCTCAGCTGCTGCCCCAAGAGGCAGCTGCCCTGGAAGCTGAGTCTACCAGACGTAGCAACTGCTTCTGTCTAACTTCCCACCTGGGCTGGAGTGAGAGCATGAACATTGCACTGGAAGGACTTTTGCAGGTAAGTACCAGCCTCTGAATCTCTTCTGAGCTCAGTGGGACACTTAGAGAATAGAAATTGTGCAGTCCAGACCTACTGTCTGGCTGAGGCATTCATCACCATCTGTGTTGGTCCCATTCTCATTCCACTCAATTTCTGAGTTTCTAAAGAGAAAAATGGGTGTTAGTTATGCTGTAATGACTGTGAGTTGATGCAGAAGTTTTAAATGAGGATAGTGACATTCCCATGTATCACATGCTAAGGAAGAAAGAGTGACTGCTTGAATTTTTTTACCTGAGCCTCTGTTAGGTATTGGAAAATTGATTTAATTTCCTGCCATGCTCTGCTGTGAGCTTAGCAATGTCTTTCTCCTTGATATCCTGGAGTACCTTAAGGCCATGGTGAACCCTAGCACAGCAAGGGAGACAAGTGGTCTGGTAAGAGTATGAAAACACTCATTTGCTTAATCCAAGAGAAGACTAGATTCATTTGTCTAATAGTGTATCAAAACATGATACTGCAAGGACAAGCAAGCATCCAGACAAGAAATAGTATCATCTGGAATATGGTGTCACTGGAAAAGCAAAGTTTTGCAAAGTGTATTACTATGATTGATAATGGGTTTCTTTCAGCTAGATGTCCTTCTGCAAGGAGGGGGTTATTATTCCCTGGAGATTAACTGATTCTGCTGGGGAGGAAAATTTGCAGAGATGATAGGATAGGTCAAGTGACAGTTTGTTTGAACAAGCTTGGTGCCTGCACGTGAAGGAAAGACTATGTTCAATCGGTGAAATCAGTCACTGAGTGGCTGTAATGTGACAGGGACATTGATATATGTGATATATGTGGTCTTTGTGCGGACAGGTCACAGTTCCAGAGACAAAATGGGACCTGGGGTAGGATTCTGGGCAGGACTTCATAGTGATCGCTTCATAATTATATCTCTTGAGGCAGAAAGGATTTTAAATCCAATCCATAAGATGTCCCTGTTTGCAGAACACCCAGAGCCCTGTTGTGTGCCCATAAATTGGAAAAAAGTTAGAAGCTAAAGCATGTATAGATTGAGACCCGTGCATACACATGGAGGAGAAACAACAGTACTGCTCGCCTGGGCTAGCTGTAGAGTTCCCTATTGACACTGAAGTTAATTTTCCTTGGTTTCAGCTGTAGTAAATAGCCTTACACATTAGAGGATGGTTGTGTGCTCTTCAGAAAAGCCATTAAAAAAACCCAGAAACAAGGTCACCATCCCCAGAAAGGATGAAGGCATTTTCATATAATCTGGAAGATTTGATTGGATTTGCTGCAAACCTTTAAAATGCCCTTTCTGTCCTGACATCATGAGATGTCCATGGTGGTCCTTCAAAGAAAGTGTGAGTCAAACAGCTTAAGTCAGTAACAGCTTCAAACATTCATTTAATCCTCCTCTGCACTCAGGGTGTCAGACTTAAGAGCACTGAGTTAGTAGCCTGAATACAGCTTTAATATCTCACAGGGGATGCAGATAAAAGGCATCAGCAGAAGTGTGTCATTCCATTAGACTGACCCTGTGTCTCAGAGCTTATGCTATTCAGCTCTCAGGCAGCTGTTGTGCCTGATCCAGTAGTTCCTAGGCAAAGAACTAGTTTAGAGGAAGATGTTTCAGGTGAGGTATCAGCATCTGAAAGACACCAATGTGCAGTTATCTCTTGCTGTATTTACTATCTACTCAGGATGTAAGATTACATTTATCAGAATGCATTTATTAACAGTTTATCAAAATATTTGGTGTAGACCTGCTTTGCCAATGAAGTATTTCATGCCTAATAAGCTCTGACATTTCCATCAGGTTGTGATTGCAAAAAACTCAGTGTTAAAAACCTAACAGGAAAAAAATGAGAGGCAGGATGCTTGCCTTACTCCTTTGCTTAGGGACTGGGAAAAATTGTTTCAAAGAGTTTGCACGAGCAATTATTACAAGGCAAAGTGTAGCCAAAGTACAAGCAGAAACACACCTCTATGGGTATATACAAGATAAAATGATTTATTTCTGTGCCTCTCAAGGCATAGAAGACACAACAGGATAGAAATATAAAACTGATGAACAAGCTTATTTCAGACCAATGGGGAAGGTTCAAGACAAAAGTATAATGGAAAGTGATGTGTTCATATTCTTAGAGAAAATAAGAAATAGGATTGAAATATGTTATTTCCTATTTTATAGATGAATCAGCCTACCAAAAATTTACATAACAAAATTAACGCCTTTTGCCGATGCACTTCAGTTCTAAGTAACAAATAATAGCAAAACTAGTAAAACAAGTGAATTAAGAAAATATGTTCAAGACATTTAGTGGTATGCTGATCTTGCAACTTTGTGCAAAGTAAGCAGTTATCTCCTGAGAGGGCAGAAACGGATAGCTGGAGTGAAAACCTCTTACAATATTTCAGCTAAATCAATCCATTTCTTTGAGTGCAGAAGTGTTAAGTGGCATTTGAGTCAATCTAAACCTCAGAAATCTATCAATGTGCAAACATTACAAATGAAAACATTTTCTCTCATTTATTTGTTTGCTTTTGTTCTAAGAAAGCTGTAATTTTAAAAGATTTAATTTGTAGTCTGTCTGATTGTGTAGCAGGCTATTGAATTTAAGTATCATTAGCTTAGAATTTGCCCTGTGGAACTGATGAATACAGTCATTTATCGACAATTAGCTGCTTGCTGCTGTCTTTCAAATGCTGATCACTATGAAATCCAACCCCCATGCCATGTCTGTGCAAGCAGTTCCTGCCATCCTCCCACTGCTGTCTATTCTTCTGGACCTCAGATTTCATAGCCCCATTTCAGCAGTAAGTAAAAAATTGACATTGATGCCAAACTTGCAGCGATCTGGTGCCTGAATTACAACGATGCTGTGCCGTAAGCACAAACTGGCAGAAAGGATCCTAGTCACGTCTCAGACTATCTGGAATTTAACAAGAATCAAGAGATTATCTCCTCCCAATATATTTAGCAACAAAAATTTGCTAAACTATTATTAAACAGCCTTATTTGTTCTATTCTCTTGGAATCTTGTAGGTATGGATTTGTCAGTGTTGAAACCATCTACCCTTGATCTATCTAACCTCCCTTCTGTGTCTGTGTCTGGTTTATCATCTGTGGTATCTGAATAGCTGGTGATGGCTTCTACAGAGCAAAATACACCTCAGAATCCACATGTCCTGCAATCTACCTGTCTTCCAAGCAAGACTATTTAACAACATTGATGAAAAACAATTATTGCCACACTTAAATTTCTCAAAATAGTCAAGGAGAAAGCACACTCTAATGAAAACAATGTAGAAAAATAAAAAGGAGTTACACAGCATGGAAAAAAAATTGTTGATTATTAGCAAGAAGTCTTTTCTGAGTACTGTCTTTTCTGGGCTAGTTATGTGGACTCACCTTGAATACTGTGTGCAGTTTTCGTTGCTGCAGTATAAGAAAGTTGTTAAACTATTGGTTTATCATCTGTGGTATCTGAATAGCTGGTGATGGCTTCTACAGAGCAAAATACACCTCAGAATCCACATGTCCTGCAATCTACCTGTCTTCCAAGCAAGACTATTTAACAACATTGATGAAAAACAATTATTGCCACACTTAAATTTCTCAAAATAGTCAAGGAGAAAGCACACTCTAATGAAAACAATGTAGAAAAATAAAAAGGAGTTACACAGCATGGAAAAAAAATTGTTGATTATTAGCAAGAAGTCTTTTCTGAGTACTGTCTTTTCTGGGCTAGTTATGTGGACTCACCTTGAATACTGTGTGCAGTTTTCGTTGCTGCAGTATAAGAAAGTTGTTAAACTATTAGAGAGCATCCGAAGGTGGTGACCACTGACAGGACCCGAGGGAATGGCCTGAAGTTGTGTCAGGAAAAATTTAAGTTAGATACTAGAGAAAGGTTCTTCACCCAGGGGGTGGTTGGGCACTGGAACAGCTCCCCAGGGCAGTGGTCACAGCACAGCCTGACAGAGCTCAGGAAGTGTTTGGATAATACTCTGAGGCACAAGAGTCTTGGGGATGGTGCTCTGCAGGGCCAGGAGCTGGACTCAGTGATCCTTGTGGGTCTCTGCTATCTCATATTCTGTGATTCTATGATTGGTTTTCAATCGTTTCTAAGCCGTTCACGATGTTTACGAGGCATTCAATAAACTAAGCAATAGTAATAAAGCTGTGAAAGAATCTCTGCTTCTTTTTCCTTTTCCTGCCTTCCCTTAGCTATTCAACAGCACAATGCCTCTTATTTATTAGGAAATCACATACTAAAAGAATAGGCAAAACTCCAGTTCAGCCTCATCACTCAAAGTAATGAAGTCTACTAACATGGGCTCCATTCATATTCCCTCCACTAGTACCTATCTTGTCACTTGCTATGCTCTAGATTGGAGCTCTTCCATGGAAAGGAGAAATGGTCTGAAATTTCCATTCCCTACACTACTTAAAATTAGACAAGGGCACCAGACCTGAAAACTGATTAGGTGCAGGGAATAATCCTGAATCGTATCAATAATTTTTGGAAAATTACTCTTCTGTTACATTACTGAGAGTTTACAGAAGCTCATCCCAAGATCTTGCATACAAGACTGCCAGTGCCAACCTTACACACAAGGTTGTGAGTGCAGGCCTTGTGATGTACCCCAACCCACGTGTCCTGCTAAGAAAGAGGGCTGAAGTGTACTGAACTAATGGGCTTTTCACTTGGAGTTTTATTTGTGAGTATGGTTTTTGGATGGAATCATCTCATTTCTGGGAATCAGACTGACCCCATCATACAAATCAGCCATCAAATGAAAAAAGCTTCTACTCAGTTCCAGAGTTGAGACAACATCAAACTAGTAATTTCACCACTAGCTTGCAACCACTATCCAATCTCTATCTAGCCATTAATAAAAAGCCTAACCATGAGTTTAAAAAAAAAAAATAAATCTATTTTAGAATATGAAGTTCATACATCCAAAAAAAAAGGGTTGAACTCTTGTGTTGAAGTATAACAACTTTGTTAGATCTATCTTACTGATCTGTCTCTGACAGTGGCTACTATTAGATATTTTGAGAAAGACAAGGGCATAATTAATTTTTCCCATGGTTATAAGATTGACCAGTCTGAAGCTTTAGGACTTTCAGAATGGAGATCTTGCATTAATTTTTCCATTAATTTTGTCTAATTGCTTTTTGAGCCTATTTATATTTCTGGCATCCACAACCTTCTATAGCAATGAGTATTACAGTTTTATCATGTGTCACATGAAAAGATACTTCCTTTTGTTCTGAACCAGTTGTCTGGTAATTTCATTGTATTCCACCTTGTCTTTATATTATGTGAAACAAGAAATAGTTATTCCCTATTCACCTTCTCTATGCCTTTAACCATTTCTGTATACTTCTCTCTAATTTCATATTTTTTTCTTTCATAATTATCTCCAATTTCCCTATTTTTTCCCATAAATCTTAGTTTACTTAATTCAAAATCTACAATTGTACTTATTTTCTGATTTTACTGTGTCTCTTTGGGGTAGGATCACAGTACCTTGTTTCTATTTGATGCTTTACTGGTTTCATAGTAGTTCTTGATATTCTATTTTTGGCTTTGATCATTTCTTAACATTGAAAATACGTTTTCAGAGAACTTTACATAAGATCTACTTCCAGGATCACCTTCCTCATTATCATTTGAAGTCTAGTATTTATAAGTTTAAGTTCATGACCTTATGTTTTGTTCCCCTTCACAATGGTAGGTATGGATTTGCTTTCATGGATGATGAATTTTATTTGCCCCTCTATCACGCATATGTAGGAGCATATAGGGGCATTGTGAAATTTGTCCTTGTCATTTCCAGTGCTGACTCTTGTAATTAATTTTGGTCCATTTGGAGATTTTTTTCCCTCACTTTTTATTTCTTAACCAGATCATTTAAGAATATATTTAATATCATATGTCTAAACACAGAGGGACTCTTCTGGCACCTTCCTTCTTTATGAAAGACCTGCCATTTCTTTCTAGTATTAGCTGATTGTTCTTTGACTAGTTACCATAAGAGGAATTTCCTTCTTCCTCTCTTGACACTGAAGCTTTTCAAAAGAGCCTTTGTGACAGAATCTTTTGAAAAAGCTTCTTGGAAAATCTAAATTCATTGAGGAGATTAAATACTGATTCATTGAGATAATTATTGTTCATGATAATAGAAATAATTTATACTTCTAGACTGGGGGAAGAATTCAGCCATGCTTGCACTTCTGAAAAGTCCTGACTTGAAACCAGCAAGACTCTAATCTGTCATGGAGAGAAGTTTAAGGAAGTAGCAGAAAACTGGTTTTTGAGTATCTCTAAGCAATGTATTCAGCTGACTGCCTGTCCATGGTTCAGTGGGCTGAGCAACCCTGTATGTGATTAACATGGGAGGATGAAAGATGGAAAATGTATTTTTTTTAAATCATGATATAGATAGGAAGCATCTAGAGATTTACAGTAACTACAAATTTAGAGGACTTGGATATCACTGTAACCAGAGATAAATATCAGTATGTGCATCACTGCAACTAATATGTCTTGATTATTAACAGAAGTTTCCTAAGATTGATAGCTTCATAGAAAGCTACCCTAAAAAAGGGCTCTTCAAACTTATGGGAAGCTAGTCTGATTGAGAATCTGATTTACCTCTTCCCATTTTCTTGGGCACCAGAACTACAGTTTGTGTATTTTATATTCTTGGCTCCACAAGACACTGTGTTTACCCAACAGAGATCCTTTTTCTCCTGTAGGCCTCTCTTGATTTCTTTTATTGCTCTTTACTTTATGGGGTAGACATAATGGTGCACATTGGTAAAAGTATCCCATTTGGGATCATGGGATAACAGACAAGAAAAAATGACACAAAATGTGAATGTATGTTTTCTGCACATTAACTGCAGGAAATAGGTACCAAGTGTGTCTTGGCGTCACTGTGCAAAAACAGCATGCTTGATTCACACCAGGAAAAGGTTTTGGAGACCTGTAAGTATTCACGTATATTGTTCTCTCAGAAAAGTATCCAGAATTCCAGAAGTTTTGACAGCGGAATATTTTCTAACCCAGTTACATGCACAAGCATCTCAGCAGTCAGTCTGCAATAGTTTCCATCTAAAACTGAGTAACATTTGCCCTTGTACTTGTTACTGATATTTTTGGAGTATACAAGCTGACTTTAGGGATACCTGGTTTCTTGAATATCATCTGACACCCATGACTGTGCTGGCCTGGACTCTGTAGAGCTTCGCCTTTGACCTCCTTATATTTATTTCAGTAAATCCCAAGATTTAAACTACAATTTATCCTCCTCCTGCCAAAAACAACTATAATAGAGCCTAAGGTATTAAAGAGTCCAAAAGCCTTAATTTGCCTGGAATTTTCCTCCTGCTGTGAGAAGCAGTGCTGTAAGCTCCCTGCCCTTCAGTCAGGTACAGATGGATAGATGAGACCCACTTAGCCTGTGGAAGATTTGTGAGAATAAGACCAACACATATAGGAGCACAAGAACAGAAAGTAAGTAAAGGTCCCAACAAAAAATAGTCAGAATTTTTCCATTTCAGATTTCAGGGAATTTATCATTATTAAATATTTTATTCATATTCTTTATAATAATTATCTTTTCAGTTATTGTAGGGCTGATGCTACACTATGTCCAAAAGATGTGCAAATCCCAGGAAAGGATAATTTCTCTCTGCTCTGCTGCAGTCTGCTTTCAGCCCACTGTGGACAGTGGTATGAGCAACAAATTATTCTGCTCATTGCTTTTCTGGAAATAAAGCATTTGGAGAATGAAGACCA